TCGCAGATTTAAAATGATTTATTACCTGGGATGTCATAGGCACCAATCTTTGGGGCGGTGCTGCTAAACTGTAATATAGTCTATACTAGGCAGAGAGTAGTTATATAACATTATATATCATTCAATGTACCATAAAGCCACGTCTCTCATCAATGATATGTCATTCATTCACATGTGGTAATGGTTGGGTGAGAAATCCTTCCATTTGCACTGTGGGTCAAAATCGGCTCTGTACCAAGTTTTAGATATTGAAAAAATCAGTGCAGGGGTTAAGTGCACATGGAAGTTTCCCTGACTTGAATTGTTGTTGTTGTTGTTTTCTTTTGGAGCTATCTCAGGAGCATCTGTGCTCATAATTCCTCCACCAGATATTGCAAAACCTTGAGAAAGAATTGCCCATGGGCTGCTTTTCTCTGCTTTAATCCACAGATGACTCAGGGCTGAACCATGCACGACGTGGACAGATGAGCGCATCTTTATGTGCAAGGAAGTGGTGGCAATTTGGAGGGGTATAGGATGTATTCTTGCAAGAATATGAGTATGAACACTTTACTGTCTATGCCACACCTGTCACACCTGACCAAATATCAATGAATGATATATCATTGTAAAGAGGAGACACATGGCTTTATGGTGCATTGAATGAAATCAATGTTGTTATCACTGGTTTTGTGCTTTTCCGAGATAACAATCTGTTGCTTTTTTTTATACGCACCGTATAAGATGGATGCAGTCATATAATAGTTTGGCCTGAGTTGTCCTATTGTAATGTCATTACCAATAATCATATGAATCCCTCTTATTGGGCACTTTATATCTGATCAATACCTCAATGCCATACCCACACTGACCTTAAATTAGAAGTTAATTCAAGCTCTGTATAATTGTCAACTGCAATTATATCAGTGGAAGCCTTCAGTTGTAGAAGCTATTAAATGTCAAACCCAATGTGTATTTAAAGAACTGCTTTAGATCTCCTATAAGACAGATCAGCTGAATCTCATAAAGTGCAAAAGCCGTAACAGTCTCCTCCTGTTTATGATGGTTCCTCCACAAAATGTTAAATTAAATCTATAGCAGTCCTTAAGGGATAATCTGTAACCAATATAGTGTCATCCAATGTTGAAGAATGTACTTTATATACAGAATCATCTAATTCAGTCAACAATAAATTCATTGAAAATGTACTCAAAAGCAATCAGTCATTGGCAAAGACTTCCATGATATAATATTCTGCAAGATTAAATGTTCAGAAGTGACAAAACTCTAGGAATATAATATCTCACTTTGTCACTAACTAAGGGAGAAACAAGGAAAGTTTATTAACATTTTAGCAAATGAACCTCCAGATATTTCTTTTATTATTGATGCAATAAGTAACAATTCTTGTTCTTAGACTTTGTTTACTATATATATTAATGTCATCCTGTGACTTTTCAGAGATATCCATTACAAAAATCTATACTGGCACTAGAAACCCAAGTCTATACTATCACAATGAATGAGTTATAATGATTTCATCTCTCTGGGAATCAAACACAATTTTTAAGCATATACCGGTACATTAATATTTTGATATTTAAAAAATACAGATACTATACAAATATTTCATACTATTTTCGGTGAATACCAGTTGTACTTTCGCTTGTTTTATTATTCACTGCTATGTTCCCCACTCTCTTATTGGGAATGTTGTATAAGAACGAGAATAATTAGATTTTTTCGTATCACTTTAAGATTTACACTGGATGAGAAGACACACCTGGTGAATACACCAGTTGAATGGCTTTTTTCCTACATCACATGCAAAGTTGTTGAATATTATAGGATTATCTTATGGTTTTGAAAAAATATCATTTACATGGTGTCTCAAAAAATGTACCCAAAAGTATCAACAGCACAGGTAAAGCAATCAATATTTTCAGACATTTTTTGCATAGTCATGTAGGCAAAACATGAAAGTTTTCTCCCCAATACACCATTTTTATTTCAGTCTTGCCTTTTTGATGCTTTAACCTTTTACCTTTTACACCACATAATCAATGTAACCTCATATTTCGATGACAGCCTGTATCCTTATTGTTACATTGTTCATAACACTTTATAATAATTCCAGTGGAATGTTTTGGATTTCTCTTTGGATGTTGCCCTTAAGTTGCTCTAGGTCTTTTTGCTTGGAAACACTCCTTCAAATAGCCACAGAGAAAGATGTTTGTGGATGACGATGGCAGAAAAAACATAGAGAATCAGGTCAATTATCGGCAAATGATTCAGAAGTTACCTTCCAGAGTTACGCAAGCTAGCATAGGCAAGACCAAAAGATATCCAAATGAATACATAGTGGTGTCAAATTGATTGAGCCCCTCTACACACAACAAGGGCTACACTAGAATCACAACCAATGCAGTTTCTTGAACGTATTTGAAGGACCTTCTTTATTCTAAACCCAAGCTAAGAGACCTAGAATTACTTAAGACCAGCATCCGAACAGAAATCAAAACATTCCACCATGAATTTCAAATGTGATGAACAATGTAGTAGTAAGGATGCAGACTGTCATCGAAATATGAGGTTACATTGATTATGTTGTGTAAAAGGTAAAGGGTTTAAGTATCAAAAAGGCAAAACTGAATTAAAAACTGTATATAGGGGAAAAAACTTACATGTTCTGACTACAAGACAATACAAAAATGTCTGGAAATTTTGATTGGGTTGTCTATGCTTATGATATACATATATCCATGGATATTGATATTTGAAAATTTAAAAAAAAATCTTTTTTTTGGTTAAAATATGATATCTTGATCCACATATCAAATATATCTTCACATGATATTCGATCTACATCCTTGTAACCATGGAATAAGTCTTCTTATTTTTATGCCATGTGTAATAACCAATTAGAGAGTGGGGAATATGACAGTGATTTAATAAAATAAAAAATGAAATATTATATATTTTAATGTTATCATTGGCTGTGATCCTTGGGTTTTAAATTCCTGATCAACCTGCCATCTTTTGATCAATCTTGTAGTCAAATTCATCAATACTTCTATGAGCCAAAGATAAAGGCTCAGAACTAAGGAATCTGCTTCATTCTCATTTTCATTCTCATTTTTTTTATTTGCATAATAAAATATGAAATTGATTATATTAATTGTGCCAAATCTATTAGCATTACGTTTGTTTGGATAATAAGTATACCTTAAGAACAATAAATAATATTTAATGTAGTAATCCCAAAGTAATTTATGTATCAGTGCTAAAAATGGTCAATAACTAAGACCTGGTAACTTATATGCATCAATTAGTTTGAATATGTCTGGATGCCTGGAAACATCCTTGGTCAAAGGTCTTCATTTATCCTTAAATTATATACTTGTAAAATACCCTTGCAGCAAGGATGGCCTGGAAATATCATCATTTGATTGTTTAAGCCCTGAGCTAATAGGGATAGAGTAGGCTATAACCTTCAGATTAGATACATGCTTTACAGAGCCAGCACAATTAAATGTAGCAAAATTGAATGAGATCTAAACTAGAATATTTTCAATTGAGGCTTTTTAAGCGATGCTTTGCACATTTCTATTACACAAATCTGTGTATATTTCATTGTCAAGAACAGTTTCAAAAATTATAAAGACTTGAATTCAAATTGAGGATACAACGATCAAAGATCGTGAAGTCAGTTTATGGAATTAAATTTCTTTAAGAATTCAAATCATTGCAATTAAGTCAACTGCCAGACAATTGTTTGCAATAAGCATATGTGGGCATTTGAGGACAAATAGGATTGTATTGTTCTGTGTGACCTGGTACAATCTGCTAAGGTCAGATTCATTTACAAAAGTGATAAGCATTTAAACAGATTGAATATGAGGTTCAGTAATTAATTGTACAGGGTGACACAAAAAGTGCCTCCCACATAATGTTGCATAACTTTTTAATCTGAATAAATTCTGACTTGTTTCTTTGCACAGTAAAACTATACTCTAGTAGCAACCCCACAGGAAGTTACAGTGGACTAGCCAGCTGAACTAGGTGCACTTTTATGACCGTTACAAGATGTGCTCTAAATGTCATCTATTCCATTGGAGGCACACTTCTAGTTTCTACTGGCAAAGTTACTGACCACATTCACCTGACATAAACCATCCTAATTTCTATCTCTAAGGGTACTCGAAGGATCATATTTATGTAACAAGCCCCTAAACCATAGAACACCTGAATTATAGAGATCAACAGAAAGATCAGGGCCATTTCTGTGGGGAATGTGTTGGGGTTGTCAATAGAGTTAGTCATCTGAAACTTCTTGTGGAGTTGCTCCATGGATTCTAGTTTTACTGTGCTTAAGAACAAGTCAGAAATCATGCAGGCAAAAAAGTCATGCAACATTATGTGGGTGGCATTTTTTGTGTCAACCTGTAGTTTTTATGTTTCCAATAGGTTGATAAGAGAAGCCATTCATATTAGAAAACCTAAAAACTTTAATAAAGACATGGGCAACTTCAATCTAGATCGCTTGTGGGATGAAGTTATATTGCCATAGCAATTAATTATTTTTGACGTTAAAGTTTAATGACGTAATAGTAGATTTATCAGTATTCATTTCAACTGTTTTCAATTTAAATTTAGTGATCATGGATGCAGTTTGCATTCGAAACGTCTAAAACAAAAAATTGTAATAAAGTCTGTGAAAATGAACACTAATAAATGGATATACTGATTTCTGCTTCTTGCTATATAGCTAAATGGTGACCAATATAATATTTCTCTTATATACAAAACAACAGGGTGACCACCTTCTACAAGTACAGGGTAGCCTATATATCTCATCCACACTTGCTACCTGGAAACCCCTCACCTCCAAAGTCTCTAATTCCTCTACAACGTGGAATGATTCTTCACATCAAATATAATTTGGAAAGTAAAGATTATTGACAGAGGCTTATTATTTGAAGTTATAGTCTGCTTGGAAATTCAGAGAAAATCCTACTCACCATACGGAAGCTCGAAACGTGCATCAATGAGGACACTATGACCTGTAGGACATTGGGTGCCAACAACTTCCCCATTCTTCATTATCAGCTCACTGTCCAGTGAAAGCCATTTACCCTCTCCTTCCTAAAGATAGAATTAAGAACAATATGAATAGACTATATAGACAATATGTATAGACTATGTTTAGACTATAGACTATAAGACATTATCATTAAGAAACAGTGATAAAGGACTACTTCTTTTAAGGTTTTTAGTATATTCTTTAAAAAACCCTTTTCTCTCAAGGACAGATCAATGTCTTTCTGTGTGTAAATATACACTGGACTTCAAAAATGCAAAAATAAGATATTCATAATTCCCCTGCTGTTAGTATAATTTCTATAAAAATTGAATTCAATAAAACTCAGAATTTGATGATAAAAATGAAAACTCTGGGTAAAAAAGTTACGTCAGAATTCACTGAATAAAAACAATTTATATGACAAATAGTTTGGAACAAACAAACAATCCAAACCTGAGACTGCTACATAAACACTGGGTATCAACATGTTACAGAGCCACTGTGCCTCTGCAACAAGATGGCCTATATTCTGTCTCAAAAGTAGAATACCCAGAATATCAGACATTGCTCTCACATATGAAATTCTATGGGAACCCAGAGTGACAGATATATCTGTCACAGAATTTCTTTGACAATTTTTTTTATTTTTTTATTTTTTATTTTTTATTTATTTATATATTCATACAAAGAATACAGTAAACTGTATTAAAATTAAAACAATTAAAATGAATAGAATGGGTTTATGTTTACTATTCTTATACATATTGTATAATATGATGGTAGATGAACAAAAACTGACAATAAATGAAAAATGCTCTCTGTCAATTATCAAACCCTTTTTAGAGGCTGGTACTCAAGAAGTTAAAAAGAGAAATCTTACGAAAATCTGCTCCTAGAAGGCAGGCTATCTAGATAGAGAGACATGGTGGCTCAGTAACACGTTGCGACCCAGTGATAATGTTATTGGTTAAATATAGACTACAATTATTAAAGTGTGCGCCCGACCCGGCTACGTATAGCACAGAGTTTATACTGGCGGATTAGACTAGTTCATTTTTTATATGTGTGTGAAAGCTTTCTCTTATTTTCGTTTTTTCGTTTAGTACGGTTCTGTTATAATTGCCGAGGTCATATAACCGGGATAAAACAATGATTATCGTTGACTGCCCACACACAAAACATACGTTGAGTGAACAGTACTAGTGTTATTACAAACAACAGGCTTAATAGAATACAAAGCGTAGTGTGATAATAAGCTGTACACTACCACTGCTGCATGTACATATTACTAATTTACTAGGGCTCCCAAAGAGTGGATAGGGAGGTTGTGTTTGTCACTTTTAAATTTTACATTTAAAAATTGTCATTTTACATGTCATAATTTGTTGGTTTCATTCGTTTAGCCAATCAAAACATTGTAAAACAATAAATTGTCTGTTACGTACAATCAATTTTGTTCAGTTTTGATTAGTTGTCAGAATAAAGTTACGTTCATCTGAATCCATGTATCAAAACAAAAATCCTATTTTCACTTCAAAATACTTCAGTGAGATGAAGGCTCGGAATTGTCACATGCAGTAACTTATTGTCGTATTCGTTATTTTATCTTCTCGATAGTAGCATTTAGTCGCACATTTGATGCCAGGTCACCTTGTCGCGTACCTCTTGGGGAACCCCACATTTATGTGTGTACTCATGGAAGTAAATTCCCCGGTGTAGCCGAGAGCCACAAACTTTTCAACAGGTTCGAAATGACCAATTTCTCTCATATATACTCTAAATATTTTATTGTTTAGCACCTACAAAGTATTGCTAATAACCATATGTAATTTCAATAAGAAAACTTATCTTGCTACATGTAAATTCAATATCAACACTAGCTGTTCTCTCAACACATCCTGGCTTACCTTGTGGTGACAAACCCTGGATTTTCGCTATTTATAGTTTATCAACACCTGGACGCACTGTGCAAAAAAGGCTATATAGTAATAGAATATCCTGTTAACTATGCTCTAATATCAACTATCATAGTGTGAAATATCTACCGTATCTCCCGTGTTGTATAGACACATGCTATATCCAGATATTTGGCGGACAACTAGTATAGTTAGTACTATTTGCCACTCTACTAAATATGAACTAATATAAGCTGTGTTATATATCAAGGCTAACATATAGTTTGTCTACCACCCTATCATATCTACAGAAAGGATATACTAGCCGATTCTATGAACAACAGCTTCTTCTAGCATATATCAGGATATACTATTAAATCAGAGTTCCAAAAACAAGAGATACGCTAACTATACGAAATGACGTCATCACATCTTATTTCTGTAACTTATCTGGCTTATTAATGATTGATGACTTGTTTACATTGATAATTAATCCGTTTGTTAGAGTGAATGGATTAATTTTCTACAACCAAGGGTTCTTATTTCCTTAAAAATAATTTTTGAGTTCATTTTTTTATATACATTTAATCGTATAATGTCCCTAATGCTATGATTAACATTGTGTTAAATTTTGAATTTAATTGATCAACTCCATGGAAAGCTATTTTTAATTATTGAGTTTTCCTCTAGATCGGTTTTACTCTGCAGATTGTTGACACCTGACAAGAAAAGCTATTTAATGTTAAAAACAGTTTAGTAATCTCAAACAATTTGTTTAAAATATCAGAGATAAACACTAGATTAGTCTTTGCGATAAACCTGTTTCTATTTAGAATATCACCATGACAAATTTACAATGATAATTAATCCGTTTGTTAGAGTTTATAACACATCTCATTGGCGTATTTAGAGATGCAAGTAAATTGCATGGAACTTACTACTTCATAATTCATGTTCTATGTTATCTAGATTATCTGAGATAAACATCAGATTGGTCTCAGTAATACATTTGTTTTTATTTTACACTGTAATATTGATCAGTAATTGGGAAATTCCATTAATGCATATTATTGTAGAATGATGTATACCATTGTAAATGTCATTTTATACTGTAATATTGAGCAGTAATTGGGAAAATCAATTAATGCAAACTATTGTAGAATGATGCATACCATTAAAATGTCATTTTATACAATAATATTGAGTAATAATTGGGGTATTCAATCAATGCATACTAGCGTGAAATGATGCACACCATTGTAAATGTCAAGTTACACTGAATATTGAGCAGTAATTGGGATTCGGGATATTGAATCAATGCATACTATTGTAGAATGATGCATACCATTGTAAATGTCATATATTCTGTAATATTGAGCAGTAATCGGGAAATGATGTAAATAACATATTGAGACATATCAGAGCAAAATGCTAAAATAAATGTTTAATCCCTAATTATTCAATTTCAGTGGAATGAGAAAAACTAATCCGTTGAAAACTAATCCGTTTACTTAAGTTAATGGATTAATTTCTACAACTGACGGTTCTAAGTTCCAATAAAAAAAATTTGTAAATAAATTCTTTAAAATAAATTTGATGACATAATGTCCCCAACGCTATGATAAACATTGTGTTAAATTTTGAAATAAATCCATCAACTCTGTGAAAAGTTACTGTTTTAATTTTAATAAGTTTTCCTCTCGGTTTTACATGTACTACATTGTTTCTCTTTCACATTGAGTTTTATATTAATCCATTTGTTAGAGTTTAAGCATAAATTTAATGTCACATTTAGAGATACAAGAACAAGCGCATGAAACATAATACTTCATAATTCATGTTCTATGTTATCTAGCTTATCTGAGATAAACATCAGATTGGTCTCAGTAATACATTTGTTTTTATTTTGCATTGTAATATTGATCAGTAATTGGGAAATTCCATTAATGCATAGTATTGTAGAATGATGCACAGGCCCGTAGCCAGGGGGGGCTTGGGGGGCTCGCACGAGCCCCCCCCCCCAGATATCTCCTAAAAAAATGTGGACCTACCTATTTTTGCTTTCTTGAAGAATTTTCTGACATTTCGAGGTAGAAGGTAACATTTGGTCACACATGTACGGTGTTTGATGTGATTGCCAATTTCTTTTTTATAAAATTCTAAATTGACTAGAATAGCGAGGCGACTAAATGATTCGGAAATTAATCATATATTTTGATCCTTTAATCGCTCAGAAGGTGCCGAATAAACCTAAATATTCAATTTATATATAAATACATAAATCATATATTTTGATCCTCGAATTGCCCAGAACACGCTAAATCAGCCCAAAAATCTTAACTTTTTCAGGGGAGCATGCCCCTGATTTTTTAATAAATCATATATTTGGATCATAGAATCGCTCAGAACGTGTCAAATAAGCCTATAAATTCGATTTTTTTAAATACGTAAATCATATATTTTGATCCCTAGAACGATCAGAACGCATCAGAATCGCCCAGAATGCGCTAAAAAGCCTAAAAAGTTTTTTTAAATACGCAAATCATATATCTTGATCGCTCAGAATGCACCAGAATTGCCCAGAATGCATCAAATAAGCCTAAAAATTCAATTTATTTGAAATACCTAAAATATAAATTTTGATCCTAGAATCGCTCAGAACGCACTAAATCAGCCCAAAACTTTTTCAGGGGAGCATGCCCCTGATTTTTTATTTAATAAATCATATATTTTGATCCAAGAATCGCCCAGAAGCCCAGAACGTGTCAAATAAGCCTAAAAATTCGTTTTTTAAATACGTAAATCATATATGTTAATCCCTAAAACGATAAGAACGCATCAGAATCGCCCAGAATGCGCTAAAAAAGCCTAAAAAATTCAGTTTTTTTAAATGCGCGAATCATATATCTTGATCCTAGAATCGCTCAGAATGCACCGGAATTGCCCAGAATGGTCCAAATAACCCTAAAAATTCAATTTATTTGAAATACCTAAAATATAAATGTTGATCCTAGAATCGCTCAGAACGCACTAAATCAGCCCAATACTCCTAAATTTTCTGGGGGAGCATGCCCTCTGGCCATGATAATTTGGCTCAAATTTTGTTCCGTCTAAATCAACTAACTAGTCACTTTAGCACCATGAGGGAATTACTGGGCCATTTTTCAAAATTTGGGCCCTTATTATCTTCTGTGCAAGCGCAGAAATTTTTGGGTCCCCTCCCTTGTTTTCGTGGCCACCCCTGGTGTCTTGTTAATAACCCCCTTGTGGTCACAATGCGAAGTTGGTTAAGCATGAAAATATTTTTGTGTGTGGATGGGGGGGGGGTCGAGCCCCCCCTAACCAAAACCTGGCTACGGGCATGATGCATACCATTGTAAATGTCATTTTATACTGTAATATTGAGCAGTAATTGGGAAAATCAATTAATGCAAACTATTGTAGAACGATGTCATTCATGCCATTAAAATGTCATTTTATACAATAATATTGAGTAATAATTGGGATATTCAATCAATGCATACTATTGTTGAAATGATGCACACCATTGTAAATGTCAAGTTACACTGAATATTGAGCAGTAATTGGGATTCGGGATATTGAATCAATGCATATTATTGTAGAATGATGCATACCATTGTAAATGTCATATATTCTGTAATATTGAGTAGTATTGGGTAATGATGTAAATAACATCTTGAGACATGTCAGAGCAAAATGCTAACATAAATGTTTAATCCCTAATTATTAAATTTCAGTGTAATGAGTTTTGAAAACTAATCCGTTTATTAAAGTTAATGGATTGGAACTTAGAACCGTCATGACTGACGGTTCTAAGTTCCATTAAATATAATTTGCAAATGAATTCTTTTAAATAAATTTGATGGCATAATGTCCCCAACACTATGATAAACATTGTGTCAAATTTTGAATTAAATCCATCAATTCTGTGGAAAGATACTATTTTAATGAATGAGTTTTCCACTCGGTTTTACTACATTGTTTCACCTTAAGATTGAGTTTACATTAGAGAACAGAGGCTCCATATTACACAGATACAACCTACAATCTGTATGCCCTTTGTTAAACAACGTGTATTCTCTTATATTTCACAATTCATGTTTTCTGTTATCTATTATATCTGCTGTATTATAAGTGTTAAAAAACAATTTAGTTATCTCAAACAATGTGTTTATAAAATCTGAAAAAACACCAGATTATAGTCCCTTTGATAAAGTAGTTTCTATTTAGAAATCCACGTGACAAGTTTACATTAATCCGTTTGTTATAATTTATGGATTAATCTAATGGTACTTGTGTGGGGTACTATGATATAAAATTATAGAAAACAGTTTTGAACAATGGAATGTAACTAATACTTATTAACTTTTGTACATACATTTTACCTCACTGAATGTTAAAATCACAAAGTTATTTATCTTAATGACAATTCACTTTATTAATAGACAACAGAGAAGGGATAAGCTTCTCCAATTTGTTTATCTAATAGCTTAAAATATTTAAATTGTGGTTAATAAGCTAGATAAGTGATTTTACTTTATTAGCGCTGCAAGCAATGAGACCTGATGACGTCATTTCGTATAGTTAGAGTATCTCCTGTTTTGGGGGTCTGATTTGGGAGTATCTCCTGATATAAGCTGAAATAAGCTGTCTCTAGCACAGAATAGGCTGCATATCTCCTGTTGTGTATATCCAGTACTGTATGAATAGTAAGATATAGTCAGTTTTTAAGAGTATAGACAGAAGATATTTAATATAGATTGCAAATCTCCTGATCATATCTCCATTTAAATTAGTATAATTTGGGACCTATTCTTTGACATACCATCAAATAAGTTGATATAGGTGGTATGATACTCAAATTTGTCCGTATTAAACATTTGATATCTGACTATATTTTAGGGGATTCTAAGGAGATTTGCAAACTATTTATGCAAATCTCTTGAAATAAAACAGGAGATATCGCACATTTTGCACAGTGACGCATGCGCATTTTATAGTTTATCGGGCACTTTAAATGGAAGCTGATGTAGGATTTCAACATGCCTGTGTAGAGTCTTCTTGGATTTCCAAGGTATGATGTGTTCATATGATTGAAAATCAAACTGGGAAACAAGTATGGTGTAGAGTAAATAGTGAGTCTAATCAAGTAACATGTACTTTGTGAGATCTTAAACATGAACACTCTGTGCTTTTATGATTCACAGAAATTATCATTCTCATACTCATCACATCTTTTTGCCTTCAACTAGAAATATATAGTTGGTTACAATTTGCAATCTGATATCATCAGATGGGAGGGGTACAATATTAATATTCTAAGTACATGTATGATGTTTATCATGTAATTATTGCCCTTAAAGTTGAAACATTACATTGTGTTACATACATGGCACTACCCTACTCACATGCAAATATAGGGTACAATATCCACAGAATCATAAGTTTGTATGCTTCACATTAATGTTCAAATTAATCTTCAAAACAGAGGCCTATTGTATCATCAGCATGACTAACTGAGATTGAGAATATCAGTTTTTTAATATTAGTTTATCATGACTTGACAATTTTGAATTGTAATTTTCTAATTTATCAAAATTATCTTTTTTCAAGAAGAGAGGAGTGTTATCCATCAATTCTAGGCAAGCCAAGGCTGATTAAACACATACTTGTTCTGCTCTATTTCTATGTTTGTAGTGTGGCTGAATGAACCAATCCAGTCAACCACATATTGGTTATGATATCATTCTCATAGTCTCAGCTCATATAAACATAAACATTTCATAATTTTGTTTACATTGCTCTAAAATATGACATCATCAATCTTATTAAACCTTAGTTCCTTGGTTCACCAAAAGGGGTCAGGATTCATTGGAAATGTATATTTCTAAAGCATTTGCAGGAATGCTGACTCCATGTAATTTTATAATTGCATTTCTTGTTCTTTCCTAGCCTATATTAGATTTAAAAATGTGACCATGACTGATGTTTTACAGGAAAGGCAGTTAGGCAAGGTAAAGTTAAATAGGTTGACAGATGAGCCAGGTAAATCTGATGAAATGCCCTATATATCCTCCATAGGCAAAGGTCGATAGAAATAATTTTTTAAATAAAGATGGCATGGTAATCCATCTGTGCTTATTTATAAATATTCTCTTCAAGTAATCAATGGGAGCCGAAGTGATACTTTTAAAATCTACATTTCGCCCCTAAATGCCGATAGTTCTTGTGAAACAGCCCTACTGTTTGATAAAAGACATATCCATATACATACCAAGTGTGTAGTGTCCACCAAACACTAACTGAAATAGGCATAATATGCCTAAGAACAGCAAAGTTGCGGTTTGCGTAAATGACCATGGCAGATTTCCAGAAGTAGTAATTATTCACTTCTCTCTTCGATGTCTATGTTTATTCTCAAACATCAACAAACTATCTGAAATGTGTCTAGTGATTTTTTTGTATTAATAGAAAGTTTTTAGAATGATATGCTATTTTTAATTTCCAAGTGTATGCTTTGCGCAAAATCAATAAACACTCGATTCCTGCCATGGCCAATTTCGCAAAACGGGACAGTGCCGTTTAATGACATGTCAGGCCCTCAGTATGTCATTACATGTCAATTCTATGTGCTGGGTACGTCAATCCATATGTTTTCTTTATATATCTAGTTATCTTTTTCACATTGGGAATATCGTTAAGTTGACGCAAATTGTAATTCAAAAACAACATCAAGAACTCGTTGAGCACCTGAGAGAAAAAAAGACAATACTGGATTCTATTGGTGCTGCCATCTTTATATCGGCCCAGAACCTATGATATACTCTACCCTGCGTGTATAGTCTAGTTATAAACTAACCTCTGCCTAGTATAGACTATATTACAGTTTAGCAGCCCTGCTCCAAAAATTGGTAGCAGTGACACCCAAGGTAATAAATCATTTCAAATCTGCGACGCTGACCCTTTCTCAACCAATCAGCAAAGTGGAAGGAATGCATGCTAAATAGTGCTCATTAACTATGCAGTGATGTCATAGGAAATTACCATATAGAAAGTCAACCATATTGACTCTGTGAGATCAGAGATTTATTGTAAACTGAAAGAGTGAAGAGGAAGCTTTCTTTTAAGAAGTGGAGTCGAACAAATGCAAAGGGTATACATGCTCAGATACTGACTGATAAATAGCATGTACATTTAATGTATCAATAAATATTTATTCCACTCTATTCCTCAAAAGAATTGGAATAAATAATACAATTTAATGACATTTCAATATAATTCACAATGTTTTTTTCGGCCAACATATCCCTCTGTAATAGTTCCACTGTTAAATGCTCTATTTTATCTCAAAACATTGCCTTTTACTTAAGGGAATTAAATGAATTTCAGTGGGATTGAAGGTCACTATTGATTTCAATCATTTATATCATCTGCTGAGTAGTATGCTTAACTCCAATGTATCGCCCTCTGTCTGTTCATTCTTCCCAGTTTTCCACTTCTCCAAAGCACAGACTGAATTTGTTGAACTTGGCTCACAAAGGATTGATATCGATATGGTGAACTTTTTGAACACACATTTCTCTTAAACCAGTGATCAAAAAATTCTGAAAGTTTTACACATCGTCAATTTAATGGTCATCTTTTGAATGGTAACAATATAATTTGATAAAAAAATGTACTTTTTTCTAAATTGTTTTTGAAAACACATCAGTCCCGCTATGGCTCAGTGGCAGAGAGAGTCAAGGAAGCCCCGGGTTCGATTCCCGGTTCAGACAAGTTTGTTTGTGCGTTATGTAATTCTGGGTGTTTGACTGAGTGGTTCACGACTCGTATAAAAGGCTGTGGTGTGTACCTGCATGTCTGTGTACCTGTGCACACAAAAGAAAACGGGGTTCCTCCAAGGAGGGGTTGCTGGCTCTATCTTCGAGTGTAAAATACTTAAAATACGGAATATACCAATGAGGTATTGCTCGCCAAATATGGCGGTAACCAAGATATAATAATCAGACGCTTATTTTGTTCTTGGTATCATATGTTCGGAATGAAATGAAACATCTATCCGAACCTCATTGGAACAAAACGACATAAACACAATGTGGTTAGGTCTCTCAAAATTGTAATTGTACAAAGGAAAGTCTTGGTTGATTTAAAAAAGTATCTTGTTAATGAAATAAAAAACTTAATTTTTATCTAGTTTTGGGGGTTTTGTTTTAATTTTTTCAATACTTTTTGTGAATTCAACCAAAATTTCCTTTGTATAACTATAATATTGGGAGGTCTAAGAAAATGTTGTATATGGTATTTTGTTCCAACAAGGTTCGGAAAGACATTTTATTTCATTCTCAAGAATAGGTAGAAAGGAACAAAAAACAATTATTGCACTAAAAAACAAAAAATCTTAACAAAAACAGTTACATAAAATATATATAAATAATGTTCGAATTAAATTGTTGTCAATTAGTCAATAAAGGACCATGTTTTTTTACAGAATGTCTTTAAGAATTGGTTGAAGAGAAGAACATTGTTGAATTCAGTTCACCATATCAATACCTATCCTTTGCAGAATCTTCAGTTAAGATTTCAATAGCTCTATTTAGACAGAAATTCTCTTAAAAAGTTCCAAAATATTTCAACACATATTTGCTTTTAAAGCTGTTCTATTTGCTAGATGACATTATCTGTATGACTGAAAGAATGGCTTTCACAATATTTTTGTCATATTTGTCATAGAACTCCAGAGAAATCTAGCAAAATCCACCTTACTTTACTTGCAAATAACTATATATATATAATAAATAGTAGGGGTTAGACTGCTAGAGATACTTCATTTATTGGAAGTACTTCATTTTACATGATATCTTTGAAGCATAACATCTATAACAGAAGCGAAAGTCCCCGAAAGTTCATGTCAATATATACTGCCATGCATTTTTAAATATAAAACTATTCTCGTACATCCTAAAGATCAGAGTTGACAGAGATGATACATAGGGGATTATAATTTGAGTTTATGTGTTAATCCATATTCACAATGATGGATGGTTTCTCTAAAAGGAAACAAAACAATTTTTTACTCCATTTTGTACAAGTAAGTGGACACTTGGGTTTGACAAGTAAAACATTTGCCCACAAGCTCACCAAACTCAAGAATGGGGTTTACAGGTTTACACAGGTTTACCAAACAATGATTTATCAAACAGAAGTTCACTATTCAATTGTTATTTATTTAGAAACTTACCGAACAATGGTTCACTAAACACAAGTTAATCAGACAATGATTTATCAAACAGCAGTTCACTATTCAAGGGTTATTTATTTAGAAATTTACCAAACAACGGTTCACTAAACAGAATTTCAACCAAACAATGATTTGTCAAACAGCAGTTCACTATTCAAGGGTTATTTATTTAGAAACTTACCAAACAATGGTTCACTAAACACAATTTCAACCAAACAATGATTTGTCAAACAGCAGTTCACTATTCAAGGGTTATTTATTTAGAAACTTACCAAACAATGGTTCACTAAACACAAGTTTAACCAAACATTGATTTATCAAACAGCAGTTCACTAATCATGTGTTATTTGTTTATTGAGAAGTATGCCAAAAATGGTTTACCAAGCACAAATTAACCAAACAATGATTTGCCGAACAAAAGATTGCTAATCAAGAGTTTAATGATAATAATCAAACACGAATTTCTATAAAATTATTGATTGAATAATGCAATTATGTGGAAAAAGTCTAATCCATTTTACAATCCAAATTCAATACCATTCAATACCCTTGTCATTTACTAATAAAGAAAGAGAACTTGATGTCAAGGTGCCATGAAGCTGGATGTTTAACACTTAATTCAATGTCTGTATTTAATTTGATCTGCCTCTCCTGGGAGACAATTTCCTCTCTCATTGAATCGTGATGATATCTACCCCCAAAGGCACAACATATCACTCTATGCAAGACCAATTCACTTCTTCTCATACTCAGCAGATCTGTCTTGAACAGAACTATGAGACACATACAAGGAAAGCTGTGATTTTCTCATGATGGTTTGAAAGAAGGTTGTTGAGGTGTATCAAGTCACACTGTGATACTATCTTTACTATTCTCTTCCTTGTATCTTTAAGGTTTAAACTATGTTCATTGAGCCACAACCTCTACTCTCCCCTAATCCAACCAGAACAACGGCAACACCAAAGCGTAGCGAATCCCATTAAACAGATATGACTGGCATTTTTTCAAACGAAAAATATAGAAAATATCATAAAACACACATAAGAAAGGCCACTATTTTCAAAATGGTTGTTCACTAGCTAAGTTGTCATCAGAAGTAATATGCTTTTAAGTAAAAAAGTAATAACACACATAAAAATGGTGGCCATTTTTCAAAATGGCCACCTACTACCCAAAGTGTCATTAGACAGTGTGCCATGCTTATAGTATTCACATATAAAATATGAACAAAATCGCTCTACTACTTTTTGAGTTATAGTAAAAAATGTAAAATAAAACACGTAAAAATGGCGGCCATTTTTCAAATGCCCTCCTACAACCCAAAATGTCATTAGACATTGTGCCATGCTTAATGTATTCACATACCAAATTTGAACAAAATCGCTCCACTATTTTTGGAGTTACGGTAAAAATGTTAAATAACACACGTAAAAATGACAAATTTTTCAAAATCGCTCTACTACTTTTCGAGTTACAGCAAAAATCGTAAAATAACGAGTAAAAACCTGCATTTTCAAGATGGCTGTCATGTGC